GTTAAAAATATTTTTACACAATGGAACACTGGGTTTGTGGTAGCTGTAAAGTTGTCCTCTTACCATGGCTTACTACATACAGTCAACCTATACTAAGATTCTCCATTTGATAGTAACATGGAAGCAATTCCCACCTGTTTTATCAAAAGACTGCACGTTGTAAGTTCGTAATTCTGCTGGTCCAGAAAGTCTTCCACTATTCGGAGGATTAGGGAAAAATCTTTCTTGTCTTCGAGGAGGAAGAACTGGATCAGTGTAAGGCTCAACTAACATTGAAGAAATCACAAAACAGGTCACTGAATATTTATTCCCCCATTCCATACAATTCTAGACCAGCAAAATTCTCTAGATATCTTATGCTCTTGTAAATATCCACAGTGACTATTGATTAGGGTGAGCAAACAATCTTAAAAAATCCCAAATGTAGGAAGCCCACCAACTATGTACTATAGCTTATGTGTCTAAGAAGCTGCAAAAGAGAGAAGTTAATTGATTTTTGGTTTAACATACAGTAGAATTTTGAAAGTTATGATTACCTAAGTTATAAACAGTGGGGCCTTGAAACAAAGGTTCAGCATAGCAATGAAGGTCAAAGGCAAAACAAGTTACTATACATTTTAAGCCATGCTTAGATAAGAGTGCTGTTTCCCATTACGTTTCATAGTGCTGTAATGCGTTTCCACCAACTTCCTTGCATCAGATCTAGCAATCATGCAGCTACAAGACAAACTGTATCAGTGAGATCCAAGTGCAGAGATGGGGTAAGAACACAGCTCAGGTCAAGGAAACAAGATACCCCTCTGCAGTATCCTGTCAGTAGATCAGATCTGGCAAATGAGAAACTGCAGCCTGAGTGGACTTTGCATTTTATAATCAGGCTTTCACACAGATGTGTAGCAACTACACTATTGCTTGCTGCACCTAATAATTGAGGTACTTTAATCTGTGTACTTTACCTAATTTTAAAATTTTTTTTTTAACTTGTAGCGTTTTTGCTTCTTTATTACAGGTGTACAGGAAGGTTGTCCTTCTCCCTGCATTGTTTGCTTTAGAAATATCAGTAGTATCCTCTGATTCATCTCTGTCTTCCTTGACTGATAATGTGCAATACAGATGTTTAGCTGAAGAAGTGAGAGTGAAGACTGATTACTTTGTTAATTATCAGAGGTAGTATCAACATGATGTACCAAACAGGATTACTGTAACATGGTACTCCTGTACTATTAATATAATTTTTTTTTTGAAAAACATAGTATTTTTCAATATTAGCTAGCATTTATTTATTTATTTATTTAAAGCTAATGTACCTTTAAGGCTAATTAAAACTTTTTACTTTCTCAGATCTTTTATTAATTATCCAGCTCAGACAGGTCTTTTGATGCACTAAACAAGCCCCCATTAAAATGATGAAACCGAACAGTTGATTGTACACTGCTAGTACCACCAATATACATTTAAAAGATAGCAAAGAAGAAGTACAAGTGAACCGCACCATTCAAGAAGGGGAAAAAACCTATTAAAAAAAACCTTTCCAGTGCAGTTGCACATGCAGTTCCAATAAAACATTTCATGTTTTCAAGCAAAAAAATACTTACATATATACACTACAAGTCAGTAACTCCATTTTTCAATAGATACAGTAGCTAAGCAGATTTTTATACCTGGTGGAGGCAGAATTATCCTGCGTTCTCTGTCCCAGGGAGGAGACAGGGATCCAGTATCTGATGGTGGTCGGTGGGGATCAGTTAATCTATCAGAACTCAGCTCTCCTCTTTCGTTACCAGCTTCATACACGGCAGTTGGTCCTCTGGATCCTAATCGAAGAAATCAGATAGCTATTTACCCAGGTATTTTAAATCCTCTATTATGGCTTTCTTCATTAAGTCTGAAAATAGTAAAATAAATCATGGAATGCCAACACTGTCAAGATATGAGAGGCACATGGCTCCACAGGACTCTCCAGCTGTTTGCTGATGACCAGTTATGTTTACTAGAAGTGTTTTAAAGGTTTGTTTGGAATGAAAAAGTCTTAGTTCAACAAAAGTGTAATCTAGAGTACCTGCAATTTAAAAAAAAAAAAAAATCATTTTAAGAATTTCGGTTCATTCGCATCAGAGAAACTAGTGCCTTCACGATAAATCTTCTTCTCAGTGCTAAAAATCCTGCTGCTAGTCAAACTACAAATTAGCACACTGAAAATTAATACCCTCATCATTAGAAAATATCCACATTACATTCAACACTTTTCTGGTTCTTTCTAATTCTTTATTCAAGAAAAAAAAAATAAGAGAAGACCAGGTCAACACATAACCAAGTGCAAGAGAAACTGTGACAATGACTGATTTTAGGTTGCAAGCTTCCTTTAAAATAGATTTGGTCTGAAAAATGACAGAAATACTGAATTCTAGTATCATTCTCTAATACTCTATCTTAAAATTCAACCTAAAATTTGAAGTCATTTCATGTCTTGTGCAAAGTGAGATGAGCACTATAATTGCTCTGTAGCTGGCATTATTTAAACACATCACTTGTTTAATTTGCCCAAGTTACATTAGTGCTCCATTGTGAAATGGACAGCAGTTATGCCTTTGCATAGTCTCTTTCCTTGCTAATGCTGCATCCTGAAATCCAGTTTTTACTCTTCCTCACCAGCAAAGGCTGAGCTACAATTTAAAGATACATTGGGCAGCTCAGTTTCATTACTTACTGTCTCTATACAAATAGTCAAGTATGATTTTGCTTGTGTGTGATATAGTTACAGTTGAACATCCAATCTCAAGCTTTTTTCTGACTTAGAAAATGAATCAACTTTTATATGGATATGCTTTTTACAAAGAATTAAAGTAAATAAATAGTCCATGCTGGTCTTTTAAAAATCAATGTTGATTAGTGACATCCTTATAGAAGAGACATTTAGACATATTTCCCATGAAATAAGTACAGGTTTCGACAGGTGTAACAGTAGTAGTAAATTAAATTGTAGCTTCTTTATTACCTGTAAACGATGCTGAACTCCACTCTAGCACTTATCTACACTATTTCCATCAACATCAAAAATATGAAGGAACACTGGTTTTCTTCCCTTACAACCCATGCCACCACGGCTTGCTTTCACCTACTTCTCAATCTCTGCATTTTACTCCTCTCACACAACCTTCCTGGTCCCTTTTATCACTAGGGAAGAAAGTGTATGACTGCCTCAAATTTAGAACAAAGGGAGGAAAACAATTTACTGAATCAGTAACTTTCTAGTATCATAAACTGTCTCATGTTTTTGACAATGCAGGTACCCTCTCCTTCTCTCACCGACTGTAGACCAATGAGATGAAAGTGGCAGTATTTTTTTCTTCAGAAAACTAATCAACTTTTGTTTACTTTAAAATCATAAGTTTATTTCAGCAGAACCCCATTTGTCCAAGAAATAAAACAAGACTGATAAAGTTTGGCTTTTCACTTTTCTCAATCTATGCTTCTAAAGTGAATCCACTGACCAACCTACTAGTACCAACTAAATTTTCCATTGTACTGTTACACATTAGACAGCTTTAGAAGCAAGCTGAAAAACAGGAAGAGTTTGTCCAATTAACTGTTTATATTGAATTGGTTGTTTTAATACTTTTTGTCACCAGCAAGAGGAAAAGGTGTGACAGGTTTATAGTAGAGGAGAGAGAAATCCAGAATAGATACATTTTCAAGTTTAAGAATTGTACCTCTTCCTCCTCCTCCACCTGGAAGCATAGGTGAAAGCCTTAAAGGACCCTCCAATAAAGTTGGAGGGGAAAGAAAAGCTCTTGTTTCAGATGAAGGCCGGCCCATTGGTGAGGGTCCATATGGGGAATGCTCTGGAACAGTTAAAACAAAATACTCAAGTTCACAATATTTAGTTTAGCAAACTGTATAAAGTAATTAACTTCTCAGGTGAAATTTAAAAATAAATTGTGTAAGTGAAATGAAAATTGTGCTCTAATTACCATGTGTATCGTATTCCCAGTCTACTCTCATCGATACTACAAACGCTCTTAGTTTCAACAAAATACTCGACATGACCTAGAGTCACTTATGACCCAATTATTTTTCTAAATGACTGTTATTTGCACACACACATGGCCAAGATAGTTTTCAAACAATTACATATGTGTGGTCTTGGGAAACAAAACCATAAACCAAAACAATTAGGCTCTATTTTACAATTCAATACTGTACCTCTGCCAAATGGTCTAACTGGAACATCAAGAGCATAAGGATCTTTTTCTAAAAGGTCAAGTTTAAATTCTGTTTCAGTTAATCTGCAAATAAACAACAAAAAAGTAGTAAGTAACCAAAAAGTGCAAAAGTTTTACTGGACTGCACTGTTTACTGCTAGGCTTTCCACTTAAAGGGTTAATGAAGTAAGGTATTTTATTCCCTAAATAAAAAGGATAAAGGATGTCACAGAACTCTGAACTTAAGAATTCCTGAAAGTATTTCTCTATGCTGCTGTATTTAAACTAATTCAGAAGTTGAAGTGGCATGTTAGATGTCACAATTCCTAGCATGACACTACTCTCATGAGTACTCTAAACTGCATTCCAAGTATTAGTTAACTTCACACCTAAAGGTTCCTCACAACCACCACCACCTGATCTGTTAGCTCAGTATTAACTTCTGAGATAAGCTGTAAAATCATTAGGTAACCATGATTTCTGGTTGATACATACTTATTTAAAACAAACAAACAACAAACAACCCCCCAAAAGCTTTGAGTTCTAGTACTACATTCTGCTTCTTTCCTGAAATATTTCAATACTTTACAGAGTTCTTAAGTTCTTACTTTCATTAATGTTATCATTAAAGGAATGCTCAAATGACTCCCTTTCTTTCAGAACTCTAATGGAACACTCTGCTCTCTCTGCCCTGTTTGGGCCACAATGGATTAAAATAGGTCTAGAAAACACCAAATTGCATAAATCCAAAACATATTCATATGCCAAATTGCATTTGTTTAGAATTAGATCAGGACTGCACTTACTTTTGTCTGTTATGTGCATTTTCTTTTTTTATATCATTGAGGTGTCTTTCAGCTGCTCGGGCTGTCAGCTTTGGGGAGGGACAAAAATCAGATGCTTAGATATTGCTATTTATTTAATAAATGCTTCATAAATGTGACAGGTCCTAGATCCAAGACATTTTTTTCTATCTGAAGTGTGTGGACTGTATTTTCACAAGACATGACTCGTGTATAAAGCATATGAAACACACCCTCACATACATCACCAAATGACATTAGCAGCTCTACTATGCAAATTTTTGAGGAATGATATGGCTTTCCTGCAGGTTCCTAAAACTGCAGAAATGAAATTCTTTGGCTGTAGCTGCTTTGAAGCATCTACAGAATACGTACAAGATTTAAAGTCTCAAATTTTATATAAGAAAGTTTTATTTTAAAATCATATCGTTAAAAACTGTAAAATTATGACCACGAAGCGCCATAGCTTTTAACAGGATTCTATCTTATACAGATCATTCTGTGAAACTGAAGAATGTATTAGTCAGGAGATATTTTAAAGTTTCCTGTTTGGAATAAAATGTAAAAATGGATTTTGTAGCAACATTCTTAGGAAGCTGTCAATGGAACATACTGTTCTCACAGGACATAATGTCTTCTATTAGTAGATAAAAGGAGTGAAGTACATCCAGGGAAAATATTAAAATGGCATTGAAACAAGGCCAAAAGCTTTTATTATTAGCAAAATGTCACATACTTGTTAAATGGTAACATGTTATTCCAGCAGATTTATTGCTATAGCAAATAATATTGTAATATCATTCTACTGTGCTCATAGGTATTCGGCTTAATTATTCCAACTATTTTATATGATAGAAGTATTTTTAACATCTTTTGTGTATTTCTGCAAGAAATCCGTATGTTTAAAGGTGACAGGTTAGAGTTGATTTTGGTTATCTGTTTTTAATAAGAAACAGAAAAGTGATAAAGCAAGCTATTCAAATCACTGAAAAGGATGACGCACAAAGTTCAGAAAATTCAGTATTTGGAACTTACCCAATTATCATGAGCTTTTTTCTCATGAGAAGTAATCTGTGAAAGAGAGATTCATTAGATCATTATTCATCTAAAAAATAAAACTTTAGATTTGAGTATATGCTCTTATTCATAAATTTAATGTGTGTGGATAACTGATAATGAGACATCTAAACTTAAAATTTAACTTTTTAATAAAGTTAGCTGGTAATCTCTGCTATGAAATTGTGTCATCAAAACGAGATGGCATTAAGAAAGGGGCGGGGCGGAGAAGGCAAAAAACCACCCAACAAAACCAAGCCAAATACATCACAACCTAGCTGAAAGTGGTGTTTCAATTGCAGTAACACATCCCTCCTACTTGGCATAGATGGCAAGTAACACAAAGCACATACCTGATTCTGATAAGAACGAATGGTTCTTTCTAGCTCTTCTTCAAGATCTTTTGCTCGCTGTCTGTAACAAAATTAGGATTTATGACATTGTAATAAAATGTTGAGGAAAGTAATTTTAAATGCAGTAAACACAATAGTAGACAAAAGGTATGATTAAAATTTTTTGTCCAAGACAGTATTGTCACTTAGGCCCATGGGATACATAAAAACTATAGTAGCAGTGGAAATTCTAGGCCCTAGATTAGCGCAAACAGGATGCTACACAGAACCAAAAAACCAGCATCTCCCCAACTTTTCAGTGGTCTGCGATATCCTGCCAATATAAAGGATATCCCTCCACCTATGCCCAAACAGCCAGCCTCACCCAGCTCAGCAAATGTACCAATCTGGCCGGAGCATCACGCTGTCACAGGCTACCACAGTCAGTCCTGAGGAATAGTCCCTTGCCCTAAAGTTATTTCAAGACCACAGAAAGTATGACACCACCTCTACTGCCAGCTGCTCTGTGCACAGCCTCTCTAGGTTCTACACTCACTCAGCAGGTGGGCCAAAGACACATTCATTGTTTAGTTATACTCCATTTATAATATTAATATTCTCTTTACAATTAAGATGTCTACAAAGTTCACATTCTGAGTAAATCAAGACGAGTGAATTCTGTCTTCCTCTATGAATACTGAAGAATATCTACAACAACTTTACATTCTAGAGAAAGAATTACTCTAACTGACTTCAGGAAGCATTGTTCATCAGTATCGTTCAGTTAGAGTCAATACTCCCATAAACACTGAAGGAAGATGGGGCATATACATTACAGATTGAAGAATTATGCCATAGTTTGAGAAACCACAGAAACAATGCAGAGGTACACAGTTGGTGTAACACAAAACAGAGCAAAGCAATTAAAAAACAACTACAGAAGATATTCCCACATCACAGTTTCTTAGTAAAGACTTTCTAAACAGTACTGTTTGACAAGCTTAGAGATACAGAAATAGAATACTATACCTATACAACATAAATATGTTAGGATCTATAGGAAAACTGAACATTGCATTTATTTCACAGCATTCTCTTAACTTTGTATTTTTATCTCTGTTCAGTAAAGGGAACTGATTAATCTCTCAGATTAGAGACCCACTTCTACCATTCCACTAAAGCTAACATGTCAATACAATCAGCATTCTAACGGAAGAAATGTTGCCAGTGATCTTCCATACCCAGATTTTTTAACAAAGCAAAAACTCCCTTAGTATGTATTATTACTCACAAACTAGCATGAAACATACACACAAAACAAAGAAACTGGAAGAAAATACATTCACTTATGCTGGTGTTTTTATTAATTGTCTATTGCCTTTTGTTCACTTTTGAACAAGTGATTACAGCAACTAAAATCTGTAATTACCTGTAGCTGCTCAGCTCTTCAGCAGCATGATTAATTTTTTCATCTACTTTAGAAAGCTTTTCTTCCTTCTGTAGGCGTTCTCTCTCTTCTACTGTCAGTTTCCTTTAAGAAAATTCAAAAACTATGGTTAATTCTGTTTCAAGTCAACAATTTTGTAGTTGGTCTGTCAAGAAAAACTTCTCCAATTTTTTAGGCATGATGAATACATTATATTTATTCAGATAAACAGTTTTATAGGCAATATATAAAGTGGCATAAAAAGCACTAGTTTGTATTCATATTAGTTTATTCAGTTCATTAACTGTTCTACATGAAACATTTAGATTACCACTATTCCTAAAAGGAATTTTCAAGACAATCCATATTCCTAAAGACTAATTCCACTGGGGGGAGAGGGGAGGAAGCAGCCACAAATCAAAACAAACTAAAAAGCAAACGACACTAACTTTCAGTGATTTGTTCTGGTATTATACCTTTTTTACATTTTAAAATAGTTTTCCGGAGAAGAAAAAGGTTGTTATTATCTATTAAGAAAATAGTTATTAAAAAAAAATTCTTTCCAGGTCCCTCTTTTTTTATGCCTTATTGGGCACAAAAGAAGAGAAAACCCATATTCCAGATCTCAGATTATGCACAAGTGTGCAGAACACACATGGATACTGCTGCATACAGTCCTGAACAGATAAACTGGTCATTTTCCTGTAAACGGCAGTCCTTACCTATCAAACTGTCTAGATCATGGATCTGTTGAACATGATTTAAACTTCTTTTCTACTCAATCTTCATTTCCCACTTTTCTATTTCCCTTGTTTGAACATGCCTAGCTTTTTAGAAGATGCCTTGTTACTACTAATAACCTCTTTTATTCTGCTATCTCATCACGCCAGCTTCTCTCTGCTTCTTTTTGGCTTTTCTAAAATCTTGGATAAGCAGCATACATTTGCTGAGCTTCAGTGTGGTATTTTGAAATATCATCCACACAGTTTGCAAACATTTTTCCTTTCTGACTGCCCATGACAACTTCTTTTTAACAGGTTCCTTCCCACTCCCCACCCTGCTCCTTTTTTAAAATCAAATGTTAATGTAGTGGATTTCTGGGTTTTGTTGCATCTACAAGGATGCCCAATACCTATACAAATATATATATTACAGAGCAGATTATTGAAAGTAATTCTTTAAAAAGGTCCTACGTACTGCAAAGTACAGGATAAAGACTTGTGCTGCTTCTCTTGCTGCCTTCAAGATTATGTCTGCTCCTTGAAGAAATAATTTCTGGCTAGTAAAACTGTAATTTTACCATCATGCCCTAAAATTATGACTTCTGCTCCCTCTCTGCCCCATCCACACACACATTTCTGAAGGTTACTACATAGAATCATAGAATTCTACATGCCCCATCCCATCCCAATCAACTTTATTTCTAGTCCTTAACACATTTCTGATTTCAATCAATAAGTCACAATCACTACTGTCATCCTGACTGTGAGGCAGACAGTACAGCCCTCACATTCTATCTTTCTTGGTGAGGAAAGCCTGACTCACAGGGATTCTACGTTGCTTACTGATAATAGTTAGCTTTCCTATGTTTTAACTCTAAGCTTAGTTTTATATATAGCATACTCAGCAGAGGAGTGCATTACTACCTCTCTTTACTATATAAAATGCACCTCACAGTTAAAGCAGCTACTGATTATCTTTCTTTCAACAACTTTGACAGATGTATTACATCATATCTTAATTTAATTAAAAAAAAAAAAGAAAAAATCAAGCTTTCCAACTTTACCCACCTTATTTCATAGACTAAAAATTTGTTACTTCTTGTTTTATCTTTGTTTCTGTCCTTGCTTGTGGAAAAGTCATAAAATAATATACCACTACTTTCACGGAAACAGTTTCTATAAAATTACTGTGATCACAAATGTACACGAAGGTGTAACATAAGAGGGTCTTCACAATTCAGAAAACTCTGGAAAGCAGTATTCATATTTTCAATAATTTTCAGCCCCCAAATCAAAGAGTTACATTCAAATCAAACAGTAAGCATTGAATATAAAAAGAGGAGCCAGCACCTGTGTAGTTTCATTTCATTTTCTTGATAAAGCTCAGTCATTACTTTAAGTTTCTGCTGAAGCTTTTGAACTTCACTTTCAAAACGTTCATTTTCAGACTGCAAGGAGGCTTGTTGACTTTGAAGGTTTTCTATACGTTCTGTCAAATTTAGAGATAATTATATTGGGACAATGCACAATTTACAAAATTAAAATATTTGCAATATTTTAGTATATAGAAAGTCTGTAAAAACCTTTGATCCTATGTTGATTTAATAATATAAGCAATAACATGTTAATATGTTTCAATAAATCATACAAATTGAGAAGCATTATCGCTCCTTTTGATGGGAAGCCAGCAACCTATACTCCCTACCTACCACAGTGCAGCTCTGAGCAGATACCTAGCCTTTGCTCCAAATTGTATAGCTTCTTTGAAAACAATGCAGTTTTGTAATTCACAATATAAATTTTCATTTAGGGCTTTTATTATTGTAATTATTCTACTAAAGGAGTAAAATCGGTACCATCATATACTCTTGCAGATTTACTCACACGAGGTCTTGCTGAGTAGCCTGAAGGGATAACTCAGGTTTGTCAAACTACCTTATCTTTCCAAATTAAAATCAGTCATGTTTCTTTTTCTATTTGCTATTCCTATGCCTCTCTTCAAGAAACATAGAAAGCTTCAAGTAAGTATGAATATCTTTGTGGGACAGAGTTACAATCAATTTGGAAAACACAACAGCACAAAGAGTCAGTTTAAAGGACTATCAAAACCTGAAAAATACAGCTTTACAGTGCATTTCATCACCCAAATAACAAAGCACAGTACATTCAAACATGATGGCTACTCTGCTGTTATCTATAAAAGCAACAGCTAATTACAGGCTTTAATTTGAATTCAAGTGGCAGTGTTTTCATTTCATAAGGTTTATTTCAGTAACTTGTCCTACACAACAAAGGAAAAAAACAGAGCAAGATGCTTTTAGGTTCAATTGCCTAAATGCAGTATTTTGGGTTTTAAGAGGTATTGAGCTTGCACCCGTTACAAACGAATTACAATTAAACTACTGTTTTTAATAGATGGTTTTAAAATTTAAATTAAAACTCCATTGTTTATTGTCCAGAAATTATGTACAAGGTGTTATTTATTTATTAACATCACTTTGCCCATGTATTTTAAGATTCTGTAACTTAACAGTTATAGAATACTCCAACCGAGCTCAACAAAATTTGCAAATGGTGCTTTAGCAACCATTACACATCACTACACTTTGATTGCTTTACCTCTAAAATCAAATACTTAAAATAGCTAAGCAGCTTGAACTCAAACACGCATTTTAAAAATCAACTAGAGCTATTAATGTAAACTTAATTCCATTTTTAGTGGAAGTAATACTTACAGCCTGTAAAACCATTTTACAAAAGCAGTGTCTTACTAATCTTAAGGGCAAAACAACATTTAATTACCTGTAAGTTCTCCTTTAGCTTTATTTTCATCAGACAGTTTTGAATACATTTGATCTCTTTCTGCTTCCAGGGTCTTTAAACAAGCATTTAACTACAATCAAAATTTAAAAAATAATGTGCATTTTAAGATTAGCAGAAACTGTTTGCATGCAAAAATATCTAATTAAACATTAGAAGATACTGAACTCTGTGATACTGATATCTATATGCAGTAAACTTACCATAAAAATTGCATATATTCCCTCTAGTTTCCCTCCCTTCCATCCACAAGTTTCTTAAAATCACATACCTTTGCAGCATAGATCAATTTCTTTACAGTTTGTTTTTGCTGATCATCTGATTGACAGAATAGAATAATACATCACATAAAAAGCACAAAAAGGTTTGTGACAGAGCTTACTACTATTATTTTATTTTGTTTTTATAAAAAAGCAATCCACAACATACCACGATAGGCACAGCATATTTGGAGTAAAAAGAAGAAAAAAAAAAGGCGGGGGAGGATGCCTATATTCTAGTGCTTTGTTTGCCAATCAGACTCAGAATGCTCATGTTAAAAGTGAGATGCTGAATACACACTGCAAGATTCACTGGGCTGTGCCCTGTGGTATAATCAGCACCTGCATAAAAAGAAGCTGCAGCAAGAAAAAGGAGGAAGAAAGGCTCTTCTGTGCTGCTGTTTTGAGGGGACCCACATCTGCACCCATCTGATTCCAGTGCTACCATACTGCCTGCAACAAGTAACACCTGTGTAAGGACAAGGAAGCAGAAATTAGGCTCTAAGGACCCACGGTGCTACTGCTGGGAGGAGCTTCAAGAAGAAATGAACGCAAGGTTTCCACCTAAAAATGTTTGAGAATCACTACTTGATACTAACATAGGCTAAAGCCATTCTGCAAGACACTGAGCACTGAGTCTTTACATTGCTCTATGATAATATCTATGCTTCAGCTATATCCACACGCTGCTCAATAGTAGCATAGGTTGTTTTTCCGGAGGTGTCCAAGTATCAGTTAACTGCCTGACGTGAATAACATTGGGTGAGTTTTGAAAATCCAACTTCTACAAAGCTAATCTTTCAACTTTCCTGGAAGTTTGTTGGTTCTGTATTTCTAAAACATTTATTAAATTAATATTTACGATGGGAAGCTATACAAACCGTACCTAAATGCTCTCCATTCTCTGTTTCACCCTTTGTATCTGTGTCCCAGTGATTATCTTCAGCAGCAGCATCTTCTCTTATTGCTGAACTCCAGTCTGTCATCTTCAGTAAGTATTGAGTCAGCGACTAAGAAAAAGCCCACACAAAACCACAAATAGTAAAATAAATACAAGCAATGAAAATGTAGTCACCATTACAATTACTTTTTCAGGATTTCTGTCACTTACTTAGTTCCCTTAGTAGATTAAGTGAGCCCCATATAGAGGATTCTAGATGTCTGATATTACTTTTTCTATTAAAATATATACCTGCAGGTCAACAGGTGTGCCCTTTTGAAGACTTTTCAGATAGCCAAGTATGCATCCTTTTAGCAGGGCTTGTGTATATAAGGTACACACATGTAAGAATACACTCCCAACTCCCACGCTCCAAATTCAGAAAAATGCAAATATTCTATCAGAACTAGAAGAGTTTTTCCTTATTTAACGTGCTGGCTTCCAAGGCTATCAGACTGCTCCATTGTGCTAAGCAAACTTTTTTGCTTAGCAGGAAACAAGACATTAGAGAATGGAGACAGCAAACAAAAACCCAAAACAGCTTAATACATATTAAGACAAAGAGAGGCTGTTAGACTTTTTTGGAACTCAATGATTAGCATGAATCTGAATAATTTCATTTAATGCTAGCTGTCATAATTTACCTTGACTTGACTCTCTTTATTTTTCAATACTTCTTCTGTATCTGCTTTAGATGATTCAAACATCTTAGTTTGTTCATTTAGTTCACTAAATCGTTCACCCCATCCTTCAGCTTCTTGTAAAAGCTAAAAAGGGAAATACCAGATTAGTGTGATTGTCTACTACAACCAAGAATCAAGGATGAACAGTACTTCAGCCTGTTATGTATATTATCTATACATAAGAATTTTAACCTCTCACCCATCAGTAAGAATTAACAGACAGAGACTACAAAACCAGGCTCCCTAGAGAAGAGCCT